TATGAATGAATTGGGCATGAAAACAGGATGCTTTAAAAAAGAAAAAGATAGAAAAGACATATCTGTAACTGTTCAAATAAATCAGATCTTTTGTATGACTAAAAAGGTCCCAGTAGGGACAGTGGTATTGGGTGAAACAGTACCAGCACCACTTGGGAGCTTCATGGAAATGCAGACTGTGCTCCACTTCAGAGCTACTGATTCACAGTATGAATTTCAATGAGATCAAATAATTCCTGTGCATCTTAAGTTTGAGATGCCCTGATGGAAGAGTCCTACAATTCCACCTGCAGAAAGCAGCAGCCAGCACTAGGTAGGCATCACATGGAAATTCCTGTTTCAACGGATCTGTTTCATGACCCTCTCTGTTGGCCAGCATATTTACAGTAGACGGTACTTACTCATTTCTTCTTCTTTTTTTTTTTTTTTAAGATTTATTTATTTATTTATACAAGCACTGGGAACAGTCAGAAATGTGGGAGGGTGAGAGAATTCACCAGAGACAGAGCGGGGAACAGAACAGGCAGACCAATGAAGTATACTGCTGAGGGGAGCAGCGGGAGCGGCAGGAGAGGTCTTGTCGCACCATGTGGGACCCTCGCTGGTGGCCGAGTATTGAACTGGCGCTGCAGAGGCTGAGGGAAGCTTTGCGGCCCAGCGTTTAACTGCTGTGACACCAGGGGAGGCCCTCTTCTTTCTTTATTTAAAAAGATTTATTTTATGCATACATGAGATGGGGTGCCGGGAGGTGAGAAGATTCACCAGAGACATAGTGGGGGCACAGAACAGGTGGATCAACTGAAATACACTGCTGAGGGGAGCAGTGGGAGTCAGGAGAGGTCTGCTGCGCCATGTTGGTCACCTCCCTGGCTGGATGCTGCAGTGGCTGTGGATAACTTGATAGTACTGAGATTTAACCCCTTGCACAACCAGGGAGGCCCCTCATCTCTTCTTTCTAACTGTACTGTGCCGTGATACTCGTCCACTCACTGAAAATGTCCTGAGCTTCTCTTAAGCACTGAGGCCATGGTAATGAACAGGATAACTTGTTCCAAATCTAAAGGATCTTACAATCTAACAGGACAGAGATATCAGATGAGTAATTACAAGTCTGATGAATGTTAGAAAGACAAACAAAATCTTACAGGAAAAGAGTTGGAGGTGGCAAGTCGGGAAGTTATTCTGTAGAAGTGTTTAAACATATGAGAAGGCCCATGTAGGTGAGGTGTGGTGAATTATGGGATGATTTTAAGCACAAGGAATACCTATGCACATAACTCTGGTCATTTATGCTTGTATTTCCAATGCCTTGCATGTTCTTGGCAGACAATAAGTGCTTAATAAGTGCTGAATCAATAATGGTTGTGTCGTGTGTCAGACATCTACTCTCTGGCATTAGAAATGGTGGAAGTTTTATTTTCCTTTTCAAAGGAAATAAGATCCCTAAATGGGGAAATGAGAAGGAAGAGAGAAAGCTGACTATTGTGCAAATTGCTAAATTGGAACTATGAGTGGGAATGAAAAATTGATTTACATGAATTTTCCTCCCTAAAGCAACTTGACAATTTATTCTGTTCTGGAGAATTTTCAGTTTTTGGCTTCAAAACCAAGCTGTTCCTTACTCTGAATTTCTTGGCCTGCTGTGAAATCAGCATTTAGTGTCTTACAAAGCATACAGTGATTAGGTCATGGAAATTCACAGCTAGATCAAACTAGTATATGGAAAATTTGAAACTTTCACGGCCCATTTTACTTGATGTTGAAAAATGTTATACAACACTGAATTTTAAATAGTTTTTTTCAGAAGCAATATTGATCAAATGATCATCATAATTGCCATCATTTATTGAGCACTTAATATATGCATCACACAGCAAAAGTCTTGTATTAACTTTATGAGAGTACATTGAGCTGTATGAAAATTGCCAGATATTAGCAATTACATGTGAGCCAACTTAATATTATCATTAAACTCTGATCTCTGAAACTTATAAAGAGGTTTGAGAATCCTCAATTGTCATAGCCTCACTCCAAAACTTAGCACCAAGTTTTCTTTTTAAAGAGATCCTGAGAAAGTTGCTGCTCCTCACTGACATCCATCTCCCTTCCTCTCACTAACCCAAGCCCTTTGTGCCTCTGTTACAGGGCAGGGAGAGGGGCACCCCAAACCCCACAAACCTGCCTGCTCTAAATAGGTTCTGCCATCTGCCGCATCAACAGAAAACATATGAGACTTTAATGAAAAGGAACTTTAATACAATTAGGAAACAATGCAGGAAAGACAAAGAATATAGTTTCTAAATCAAGCACCCAAGGTTACCCGTCCCCTCATGGGTAAAAGTCCACCCAAGCAGGATTGGCCCAGAGCAAGGCCCCAAAGCCTGCCACAAGTCTAAAGCATCATCCAGTGGGAACCCCCAGAAAAGGATCAGAAACAACCAGACAAGTCTGGGAGGAAAAGAGCAAAATCAAAATCAAGACAAAAACCGCCACTGTCACCTCCCCACGGGTCTCACCCACATCTGTTCCAACCAGTCCACGACCAAAAGACAAGCAAAGTTTCCTCATGTGTCTCTCAGCTCCATGTGTCTCCAGGTCTCCTTCTGGTTCTCCATCCTGCTTCCTTCCTTCCTCAGTCTCCTCTACATCTTCTCTCCCTGCTCAGCTACACCCTCCTTTTGGGTGGGGCTGGAAACCTGGAAACTTCCCCTGTCCTGGGGACCACCCTGTTACACCTCTACTACTATTATGGCTGTGTACACATTGTATCATGATATACAATCCATCTCCCTTGCTAGACTGAATTCCTTGAAGGTTAGAAGTTTTTTCTGTGCCCCTCATTTCTGTATCTTCAGTGACTGAAACTGTTAACAGAGCAACCCCAACATGAAACACGTTGTGTGACTGTGGGTCCTCACCCTTGCACTTGAAAGAGACTTAATAATGCTCAAGTGCAGGCACACACACAAAAGGTTAATAAAAGGTTTATTTACAAAGGAAGTGGAAATGAAGAAATGAGTAACTCAGGGAGAAAAAGACAGAGATGAATTCGTGAATGGTCCTACCTGTTCCACTGACCTGGAATCCCAATGACCTGCTAAGAGCTGGAGAAAAAGCCAAGGGCCCTGAGGCCAAGAGAGGACCCCAGCCCAATATTAAATATGGCTGCTTAACTTCACCCTAAGGTCCCAGCAACCCTCCTTTTGGTGATCATGGGATTTGTAGTTCCCAATGTCTTGATGGCTTTGGGGGTGGAGTCCACAACACCTGTATGGAATTTGCTCAGGACATTCTTTCCCCCTAACAAAACTTTTGACAAATATTTGTTAAATTGAATGGATTTAACACAATATCTGCACAAGCTAAATAAATTTTACTGATTTCTTACTGGAAAGTTGTAATTACTCCACAGGGGCTTTTGTCTTTTCAAATTCGTTTGGGGAGCACTGCATCTAGCATTCTTTTTTTTTTTTTAAAGATTTATTTATTTATTTGTTTATACAAACACTGGATACAGTCAGAAGCGCGGGAGGGTGAGAGAATTCACCAGAGCCAGAGCGGGGAGCAGAGCAGGCAGAAAGACCGAAGTACACTGCTGAGGGGAGCAGCGGGCCGCAGGAGAGGTCTGCGCGCCATGTGGGACCCTCCTCCGGTGGCCGGGGAGCAGCCGGGGATCGAACCGGCGCTGCAGAGGCTGCGGGCAGCTTCGCAACCCAGCGCTCAACCGCTGCGCCACCGGGGAGGCCCTGCATCTAGCATTCTTGAACTAGGACTTTATGTGCAGTCATGCACAAACTGTCTCTCCATTCCATCCCAGAAAAAGGTCCAAAGATGCTCTCTCACTTCCTCACCTCCTCTATGTATTTATTTAAATGAGATCTTTTCTGCCTCCTTCCTTGAGCCCCTGTTTAAAACTGAAGCCATCCAACACTTCCTCTGCTTCATTTTTCTCATAGCAGGCATCACCATGTAATTTAGTTTATATTTTATTTCTTTTGTTTATTATTTCCCCACCCATCAGAGTGTAAGCTCACAGATGATTTTCACATAGGCGCAGAAGTTTAAGATGTTTTAATATTGCACTAAATGGACAGGCAATTGGGGGTGTGCCACAATTTTGTCTTCAGCTTGTATGTGATATGGTGACCCGCCTGGTTTAGATTTTACTTGGTTAGGTTTTGAAGAACCCACATCCCTAGTGGTCTACAATGCATTGTTTGAGTGTTAACAGGATGTCATACAGTTGGCCTCACAGTCATCCCAGTACCTCTTCTCTTTGCTCTTCCTGGCAGCTCATCAAAAGCCAGGGGACCAAGATAGAACTACCCCAGCTTCCCCCCAGAGGTTTTCCCGCTTCAGGTCTGGAGGCTTGGGGTAGATGAAAAAGTCAAGATTTCCACCCAAAGCCGGAGGAAGAGTGGAGGGAAGGGTGTGTCTGTATAATTTTAGGCCTCAACCCTGCAGCCCTCCCTGGAGGCGGCTGGGGAGCGGGTGGTGCGATCAACCTGGGGACTCACTGGAAGCAACCCGGCCTGGCAAGCGCGTGCTGGGGCCGAGTGCGCGAGCGCCCCCCCTCCCTGCACCGCCCCCTCCCCTCCCAGGGAAATCTAGGGGCGGGGTTTGTTTACTCCTTGCACGCACCGCCAGCTCGGCCAATCCGCGAGGAGTAGGGCTTACGTCATCCATCCCGGGGGCCAATCGGCGCTCCCGGTGCTGCTCCGCCGCCAAAGCTCGCGCGGGGGAAGCGGGGCCGCGGCGGGGCCGGGCGAGCGAGGACTGAGCGCCCGCGACCGGGCTGCCGACGCCGCGTCGCCCGGCTTGCTGGGCGCGCCCTGACCCTTTTTGTTGGGGCAGGCTCGTGGGTGCGCGCGCGGTTGGCGTCCTGGGCCCTGGAACTGCGGGGCCAACACTGGGCAAGGCCGCGATCGCCACCCCCAACCCCCTCCCCGGCGCTGAGCGAGTCCGCCCGGCTCGGGCCCCCGCGGAGCGCGGGCGCTACCGAACCGGCTGCCCCGGAACGCGCGCCCGGGTTGAGAGGACACCCCGGCGCGGCCGCCTCCCCTTCTGCAGCCGAGAGGCGGTAAGGTCTGGGGCGAGGGCGCGGGCCGCGTGCCGAGGGCCTGGAGCCCCGGCGCGCCTGATCCTGGGCGGGTTTGCTCCTCTGCGCCTCGCGGGGGCCTCCCGGCCCCTCGGGGTCCCGTCTGTTTGTGCCCACGCGCCTCCCAGGCCTGGGGAGGAACCCGTGAGAGTCTGCGGGAGGACGGAAACCCGAGAGGCCTCCCCGCCCGGCACACATGCACACAGCAAGTTAGGGTAGGCAGCGCCCCGAATCACGCTGGGTGGAAGAGCTGCCTACTTTCTCAGCCTTTTCAGGGGCGCGTGGTTTCCAAGTTTGGTTTTCTGATTTTTCCTGCTTTCGTGACCCACCGGCTTTCATTTATCTCTACTGAGTGTTTTTTCAGGGGTTCAAAGCTTTGAACTCTTGGAAGAACCCCATATCCCCCCAGAAGGGAACTTTTCTCTAAAGTGGAGGATCCCTTTTGGGTCCCAGACTCCTTTGAGAAATTCCAGAAAGCCAAAGTCCCTCTCCACGGAAAGTATGTAAGTTTTTAATAGGATCTCGCCAAGAGACAGTGAAACCAAGTGAGTGCATGTGCTCAGCCTCTCCTATCAGTTTGTGTTACCTTGCATCGTGGGGTCTCAGTTTCTTCAGTTGCAAAATGTTATATGTGTGGTTGCGAAGAGTAAATGGGCTAATCCGTGGAACCTTTGGAACGGAGCTCATCATTATTAAGTGCCCAGCACGAGTTAGTCATTTTTATTTTTGACTACCATAAATGATGGTTCGGAAAAGTTCAAGTATGGTTTCTTTTTCTGTGATACAGTTAACACAAGCCCAGCTCTTTCCGTAGTCACTGCTGAAGCTCCTTGGAGGCCTAGAGTACGTCTCTTTTTCTCGTTCAATCTGGGAGGGGTCAGACTCCCTGTCCCCTTACTTGCTCTCTTTTGGTAAGTCAGTGGTTCATTCTCTCCCTTCCTCTTTCTCCTTCAAATCTTTGTTTTGTGTTTTTCCCTTTGACTTCTATACCCTGATTTTTTTTCTGGCTGCTCTTCCCTTAAAGACTTGAAGTCTGAAGTTATTCATCTGCCCTCTCTACAATGTAGTAATGATCCTGTCTCTGTTCAAGATTAAAAATGAAATAATTTAGATGGTCTGATATTGCATCTGTCTTTTCTATTTTATCAGGTAGCCTGCTATTTAACTAAAGCTTTATCACTCTCATATTACTATAATAAATCTTTAATGGCAGTGTCCATTCTCAAGTAGCACCAGGAGAAAAGTCAAATGCTTAGACCCCACATTCTCTCACACTTGTATACTGGCTCTCCCTGTGTTTGTTATTTATTAGAACATCTTGTGCCTGGAACTGGAGTGTAGTCTGAAGGCAGACATGGTGTCTGGAGTGCTGTTCTGGCAGTCCAGTTGCAGTTTCAGCAATGTCCCATTTGATTTGTTAACAAAGACCCAAGACATTATATTCCTACTTTTCAGTTCCTTTTATTTCTAGTTGCTCACTTAAGAGAGAAAATGGAATTTTTTAAATATGTAATAATTCATATTACCATGTGATCATGTAATTCCCCCCAACTCATGTAAACGTGTAATCCAACTGGCACCTTCAAGTTTGTCCCTTGCAGCCAAAATTCTTAACTGTCTGAGCTGTGTCCTCTTAATACATTTTAAAATTGAATGTACAGATGTGTTTAGACCTAATGTGAAAAGCCTTGTTTGTGGGTGAGAATTGTACACTAAAACACACCCTGAAGAATTCAGATTGCTTTGTATAATTAGGAATTGAAGTGTGAATACACAGTTCCTTTTTTATCATATTATAGAAAGATTGGCTTTGTTTCTTTTTCATATTTTAACATGATTCATTTATTGGCATAATTGCATATACAAAAATGCATAAATTGTTTATATTTGCATAGCACTTCATCTTTCTAAATCCTTTTTAGATTTGTGAAAGTTTTAGAACATGGTGAGGGAACAAATTAAACCAAAATTAAATTCATGGCAAAGGTAGAGAATTAGAATTTAAATATTCTGACTATTTAAATATTCTGAATATTCCTTTGTTTCTTGGGCTGCCAATCTTAACAATTAACTAGGAACAAAGGATGGAAAGGGAAGGTTTAAGATGAAGTTTAAAAGCAAAGTGGAGAAATTTCTAAATATAAGATACTGAGTAATAAAAATTAGTATTTTATAATCTTAAAACTTAAGTGTATTTCTTTTAAAGATTAAACAGGGGGAAGGAGGAAAATAAAGATTAAATAACATGCCATTCCATCTGTGAACTACCTCTTAGTTTATTTACATTGTCATTTGGCATTCTTGACTACTTTTTTTATGCCTGTCATCACATCTTAAGCTCCTACACCAATATGTATCAGGGTGGACCTCAGAAGACACTAGAAAGCATAGAGCTGAGAGATGGGTTTTTTTTTTTCAGATTAGAATTTTAAGTTGTAGTGAGTACTAAATATACTCACCTCTTCATACTTGAATTTTTTTCCATTTTAATCTGGGATTCATTATCCTAGGGCAGATTTAAAAGTAGGTATGTGAAGTCTTGGAAATTTTGTGCAAAATTATATGCATAAGTTTATTTTTCTGGAGAGAAGATTCATGGTTTCTGAGGCAGTGATATTTGGACAATTCAAATTTTTATAAAATTATTTTTTTCTACTGAACTAGAAGTTATATCTTCACTGGGTCTAGTTCTATCTCTTCTATATGTGCATTTTAGAAATACTTGAAGATACTATAGCCCACTCATTTTTTCTAGACAAAATATTTCCAGTCTTTAACCTCTTCAGATGTTTTTGCTGTTTTCATTTGTGCCTCCTCACACTACTTATGACTTACTTGGGGATTTGTTTCAGTTTGTTCATATCCTTCTTAAAACTTGGTCCAAAGTTAGATATTAACCAGCAGAAAAGAACATATGGGGCCTCCCTGGTGGCGCAGGCAGTTGAAGCTGTGAAGCTGTCCGCAGCCTCTGCAATGCGGGTTCGATCCTGGCCAGCCAGGGAGGTGCCCATAGGGTGCAGCAGACCTCTCCTGACTTTCCAGCTGCTCCCCTCAGCAGTGTATTTCAATCAGTCTGCCTGTTCCATTCCTTGCTCTGTCTCTGGTGAGTTCTCTCACCCTCCCGCACATCTGGCCTATACCCTGGTTCTTGTATGCATGAATAAATAAATCTTTAAAAAAAAGAAAGAGAAAAAAGCATAGTTACCATGACCTCTTTGATTTAAAAATACATACTTTAATATTAAGAGTAGGTTTGCTTCTTCGATAACCACTTTGTACTATTCATAATAATGTACTGATTAAAAAGAGGATGTCTGGGGCTAAACCTGGCTCTGCAGTTTATTAGCTAGGCAACCTTAAGTAAATTATATAAATATTTTTGTGCCTCAATTTTCTTATCTATGGTATAGGATTTATAATAGTGTCTGTCTCATAGGGTTGTTATAAGGACTAAATGAATGCCTGTATGTGAAGCCTTTAGAAAGGTCTCTGGCAGTTAAGTGCCATATACATATTATCTATTATAATGATTTTGCAATCAATTAAAATTCTTGAACTATCTGTCTTTAATAGACTATTTTTTGATAGGCCTTTACATTTACATTAAATTTTATCCTGTCAGATTGTTGACTTTTTAAAAATAATTCTGAGGCTTATTTACTTATGTATAAATTTGATAAATTGTAAGTTTGTTAATATTACATTGTCTTCATGCAAATCTTTTATTACAATGTAGACAAGGAAGGAATAAGAGCAGAGCTGTTGGAGACCTCTTAGGTTGAATATAAAAAACCTCATTAATTCTCTGGTTCATGTTGTTCAGCTAATTAGAAGTCCAACTAATGCATACCATTATCTACCTCAACTGTTCCAGTTTTTCAAGGGTAATATATAAGGAAAAACCCAGATAATTTCATATACTTTTTCTATTAATCCAATCAGTGCAATAACTATCAGGAGAATAACATTAAATTGTCTTACCTGTTCTTAATGGAACTATACTACTTTCCAGTGCCATATGTTGATTATTACTTTTTCTATGTTCACAAATTATCTCAGTAGTAATTGTAGAATCATGCATAGAATACATTCAGTTTTCAGTGATCAATAGTTGGCAAGATGCCCTGTTTCTTTTTTTTTTGAATGGTAGTACTACATTTTCCTGTCTTTAGTCTCTGGCATCCTCTCTTGCTCTCCAAAGTTTCTGAACAATTGCCAACAATTGCTTGGAAATTTCACCTTATTGAAAGTTTATTTGGAGCAATTAGGAACTCTTTAATCTTCTCATCCATATTGAACTTTGGTTTCCATTAATATGTTAATTAAAATTAATAAATGTCCCTTTGAACAGGATACCAATACTTATTTTACCCCAGCCAATTTGAAGAAGTTTTCTTGAACAGGCAACTGTAACAAGAAAGTATCTGCATCCTTTTTTCCCCCTTTCCTGTTACTGCCTCAATTTGGGCCTCAGTTCTTTTCTGACCTACAATAATAGTGTCTTGGTGACCTTCCTTAATCCCATCCTTTTCTGTGTCCACTCCTTAAACTGCAGCCAGTCATCTTTGTTTTCAAAATGCATCTAACTCCACGGCCTTTTCTTCCACATTGGAGTAATCTGTAACCATCTAGTTTTTTACTTTTTAGTACTTTCCAACTTTCTATTCTGCTTTCTGTTTACTATCCTTTTAAATTCAAGGCCTTTTGAAAAAATTTTATATATTCTTAGGGGTGATATAAACCATCAGCTAGAAAGTAGGCGTGGGGAGATGGTGACTCCCCACCAGCTGGTCTTTGTCACTTAGCAGGCAGATATGGAGTGTTTACTATATTGTGGAAACTGTGTGAGGCACTGAATTGATGAACACACATGATAGAGCCTTAGCCCTTAAAAATTCTAAGTGCGGAAAAGCATAGAATAAGAGAGAGAAATTTTGAGAAGCTACTGCTTTTTTTATATGCAAAAACCTAGTTTATTTAAT